ACAAACATTTTTTAAATAAAATAAGCAAAAAATGAGTATAGCCCCGTGGAAGTACTATTTTTTTACGGAGTATAGCCGCGCGGCTATACTATTTTCCAAAAAATATGTACCGCCATTCTAACCTTTCTAAGAGAATAAATTCATCTTCATAGGAATCTTTGTATCTCCCATATGAACCACCTTTGGCTGCGATTTTTTCTCTTATTGTTCCTTCTTTTTTTGTAAAATTTGGATTTTATAACTATTGTGCACGAATTATAATAATTTGAGAACATTTGATAAATCATATCAACATGTCATGTGAATATGTACACAAGCAATAAAATAACTTCTCAAGTGAGTCAACGAATTACTACAGTATTTTCATGATCACAATTTTATTGATTCAATTTAGCACTCCGGACATAAATTTGTTTTGGTAAGGCTCCATAAACATAATATTTTAAACCTATAGCCGCACAGCTATACCCTTGAAATATCATAATCTGAATTTCTCTTTTTTAATTACTTTATTTAGTAGTTATGCTTTAATTATTATTTACTTAGTGAATAATTAGTATTTAAGTATTTTTTAAAGAAAAAAATTTTAAAAACCAATTACTATTGATTAGGTAATATATTTATGAAGTTAATTAAAATATTTAATACTAATTATTCACAAAATAAATAATGATTAAAACATAATTACTAATGAAAGCAATTAAATAAGGCTAAGATTTTATTGAATTACTAAAAAGAAAATTTAAAATAAAAATTTACTGACCTAAAGATACTAAGTTTATACTTATTATTTAAAAAAAACCTCTCCCGACGACATTTCGTCGGCATGGGAAACTTTCCTCGGGAGAGGTCTAATCCGGCAAATAGGTACAATGGAGTCCTTTGAGAATCTTTTAACTTTTTCCATCTCATCGTGAACCATTTTCTAAAAGCGTCATTCAAATATATCAACAGACTGAGTGTTCCAATAGTGCGTACAAAATGAAGTTACCTTGATGCTGTCTTGGAATTGAGGAGAGATGTCTTTATCAAAATTCTCAGAAACTTTGAAATACATTACAAGACTCATCCCCTCTCCATCACTATCACCAAGATACATTGCAGCAGGATAAGTAGGCAACTGCAACAAGGTGCAGAGCAATATCATTAGATATTGCCAAAATATAACAAACAAAACATAACAAGATAAATCAATTCTGAAAAAATACATGTATGTTCACAATGAACACTTTCCCATTTGCTTTCACTTTGGGAAGCTCAAGATGCTGGGCAATGTGATGTATCTTTTTGGGGCATACAAACACATCAACACCTATTGGAGTATATGGACTGTAGTTCGGAGCAGTTGACTTTCGCTATCTCTGGATGGTAGACCAACAGAAAATAATATTATCATTAGCAAGGCAGAACAGAGTAATTAGTTGCAAATGTTTAAATTCAGTTAAGGTTTGTTTTGACAAAAGAAAAAACGAAAGTCATACTTGAAATAGTTCTCGCCACAGAATTTAAAACTTAAGGACGTTGCAAATATTTCTCATGCTTTAGGGGTCTGGTTAACTCACATCCAACCCTTCTTCATGCCAGATAAATCTACATAAATAAGACAAAAGAAGAGCTTCTCTTGGAGGACAAAGGAAAAAAAACAATACAAGATAAACAATACAGGAAAGAAGCATGGACTAACAACATTCAAGGGTGCTCAGCATCCCCGATTAACATCTCTAACTAATCAACTGATATGCTGGCTGTAGAATGTAATAATATAAACAAGGCAGAATGCCCAATTCGCACTAGCACTCGTCTTTTATTCTACGCAAGTACTACTACTAAGAAGTCAAAATTGTAACTACTAAGAAGAATACATGCACGACCATTTGCAGAGGATGCATGCAAGTAATTGAGCTTGAAATCCACCCACTATTAGCACATATATCTATCATGGCCTGGATGATTCGCATACTTTGATCCAATACTGACTTCAAGTCTGTGACTTAATCACTGATTGGTAATTCTAACTGTGAGAAATGTGCCTGAATCCAGAATTCATGCACGGTAAGAGAATTAAAAAGGAAAATGACATGAAGTTTTTATTTGAAAAACATATAGTTAAAGACAACTCTGACCTGAAATAGCATATTGGCTTTGACATGTGGATCATCTAAGCGGTCCTTATCCACTTTATATCAAACTCAAGTTCAATATTGTCCAAGCCATAGGAAGCTGGATTAAACATTTGTAGAAAACTATGCTCATGTATGATTTTGTACTACGAACACAAAATAATAAAAACCAAAGGCTTTTAACTTGTGTCTTCACCACATTTAAGTACAAGAGGATCATTGTCACAGCAGCAATGCAAATGATAGGCGTTCTGAACTTTAACAAAAAAAAAAAAAGATAGGTGTAGAGTATTGAAAAAATAAAAAGGAAAATGCTTTATTGATTAGATATAGGACTGCAAGACTTCATCCATTGACTTTATTAGATTTTCTGATATTCAAAACCCCAAACAACCTGATTCCTAGTATTAACATTTGAGGCAAATATTCAGAAAGTAATATAATTTGTGTTTATTGATTGTTAGGCGGGCGGATTGTGATGGACATCTATCCCTAGCTAGCCTAGCCTAATATTATACCTTGCCGTATATGTTTTGCATGACAGGGCTCTACTGCATGATCAGACAGGCTGCAAATTTCATTAAGCCAAAGCAATCGTAGGGCAACTCTTCTTTGGCTGGTCAATGAAAGTGATTGTACATTTGTAGCTTCATCAGTCACCAGTGCCTGCAAAGAAAGAGGAGCCCTATGACTGCTTTGCTTATTTGACAAGTATACTCAACCAAACTCCGCTATGCCACTAATTGAGCTCTTAGCACCTGCATCTCATGAGATTTCACAATGAGGCGATGCCCCACACTTGCGGCATATGCTGCACTTTGCATGCTCAGTGCCATGGCATCACTCACCACCCGATTATCATCTCTCGTCCCCAGCACGCACACATCCTTGAGAGTCACCAAACTCCTTGCAACTCCAATGGCAACATCGTTATCAAGGAGTAATGAGTCGTTTACAGTCACTGGTCCTTGTGAGGAAGCAAAGTAGGGCATCCACATTGGTGTAGCCCATTGCCCCCATGTCTGTGTTGGGGGAGCTTGGTTTAGATCGAGAGAAAATAAGAATGAAGAGGCCATTTTATTTCTGAGTTTGAAGAGAATGGGAAGGAAGAAAATTGGCAGAGCTAGGTGTTTTTTTTCTGAGTTGTGATTTTTTTTCTCCCCTTGTTTCCTTTTATAGCAGTCTATTATGACACTCGTTTCTGATTTTTTCCCCACTCCTCCGTGATTTCCGCTTCTAAATTTACGAGTGAGGAAACAACTGTCATCATTTTTAATTTAATTAGTGGGGCCGCTCTGTAAAAAATAAAGAAAAGAAATAGCTCTGTATTTGTAAAAATAGAGAGAGAAAAAGAAGGAAAATAGAGAGAAAAAAAAATGAGAGAGAAGAGAGAAGGAAAGACAAAGTTGTCTGTATAAACATTATAAATATCAAATGGTGTAGCATATAATCACAAAATTGTCTGTAGCATGGTGGATAAGGTGTTGGAGGGTAATGAAAGTGGCGGGGGTTCAAAACCCCTTGTGTGTGTGTGTGTGTGTGTGTGTGTTGAAGTCTCCATTTTCTTACATTTTTTAGCGGGTTGGCAGGTATTACACGGGTTGAACATGTATTTTAGCTGGTTGGCGGGTTGACTCGAAACCCACCGTTTAATAAACGGGTCATAATGGGTTGACCCGAAAATTACTCAATTATTAATCGTGTGGGTTCAGGTCGTGTTTTTTTCGTGCAGGTTTCGAGTTGTGTAACTGGTCAACCCCTTGACCCGAAACACACTCGTTTAATAAACGGGTCATAATGGGTTGACCTGAAAATTACCCAATTATTAATCGTGCGGGTTCAGGTCGTGTTTTTTTCCAGTGCAGGTTTCGAACTGTGTAACGGGTCGTATTAGAAATTGTTACCCCTAATTACACATGTAAAATATAATATAAATAAATAAATATACACATAAACGGTCCGATTTGGTTTAAGCTGGTTTACAAAAGTTTAAAACCAAACCAAACCAAATCATATACGATCCAGTTCGGTTTTTAAACCATTTGACTTTTTCTTGGTCAAACCAAACCAAATCGGTAATTACGGTTTGGTTCGACCGGATTGATGCCTACCCCTACTGGGAGGGGACCTCTTTTCTTTTAAGTTTTTTTTTATACAAGCGATATTGTGGGAGTGAAATTCCAATAAAGGACCTCGGATGCAAGGATTCTTGAGTTATAAGCTCCTTTGCATTTTTTAATGAGTGCTGCTAAACGAACTCTAAAATTAAATGAGTACACCCTACTTCCAAACTATTTATTGAATTACTAATTTATCCTAATATAAAATGACAAAAAAAGATATATTGAATTGTGAATCATTGTTGTCATCTCCTCCATCGGACATAGCAACACCTCATTCATAACATTGTCTCCTCCACCGTCACACTAAACCCTAATAGCATAATATACCCTAACTTGTTGAGTTAGAGGGAGAAGACTGAAGGTGCTTCCTAAAAAAACAAAACAAAAAACTGCACTGAACTAAAGATAACAAAATGTCTATAAATTGTAAATTTTGGAAAACACTGTGATTAATTTGGCTAAATTTTGTACTCAGTGACCAAATTGAATTTTCATGTAAAACCCAATGACCAAAAAAGTATTTAACTTTTTAATTAAAATATTATGATGTACTCACTTAATTTTAGGATTCGTTTAGCAACACTCTTTTTAATTTATTTGAGATAGAGTGATTCTTGGAAAGGAAAAAAAAATTGAGGTATAGTGTTGACCAATTAACAAAAAGTCATGTTGGGTTGGCGGACTATGCCATTGCCCGGTCCACGGTCCACGTACGCATAAGTTTTATAAAGAAGTAAATTGAAAGAAAACCAAGAGATATTACAGAAGACGGAGATATATTTTCCTCTTTTCCATTCGGTTTCTGAGACATTACACTTTCTCCTGGCGTGGGTTGGTTGAAAAGGACAATTTCGGAACAAAGCAACAACCAGCAATCCCGCCGACTGCTAGCAGCCAGCTTTACCGGCTGCGGTGCTCCAACTCAATCAAACTCCTCAGCTCGGCTCCACTAGAAACAGCCGTAGGTAAAGTGCGTAGATTGATTATTTTCTTTTCTTTTCCGCTTGTTAATTTCAGTAATTCGTGCTTCCCATGCTGTGATACGAAACCCTAGTTGTCTTCAGGACAAGCATCAATGTTTTCTATCTATCTATCTATCTATCTATCTATGATCTTGGGCAGTCGTTGATTTCTGCTACTTGCTCTTAAATTCCACTTTCTTGAGGTCAGGTAATGAAAATATATACTTCAGGGATTCTTACTTCAGCAAATGCAAACTCTAATTTTTCAAACATGTATTCACAGCGTACTATATCAATTATATATCCAAATGCGATGAAGCTGCTGTTTGCTGTGCTGTTCAACTTAGCACTTAGCACATAGTGATATAAGGTAGAAGAGTAGCGCCTCTGGCAGTTTCCTGTAAGTGGCTTATTCTCTTCCTCACTTCATGAAAATGATTAACATCATCCCCTTTACTTTTGCCCCTTTTGCTGCAACTATTCTGTGTTTACTGATTTTGAAAATGCTAATCAAAATCAGAACAGAAACTATTTTCTTTGACTGGTAAGTTGAGGGGAGAGACAAAATGTTTTCAAGAGAAGCAAGTGAGGGGTTTAAAGTTGACACTTTATGGTCAAAGGTGCAAGCTTTTTGATTTTTTTTTAGGCTGTCAAAGGTGTCATTGGACAGTCACCAAAGTAGTAACATTCCTTATTCTGTTTTACCCAGTTGTGCTTGATTATGTATTTGATGATGTTGTTGCAAATTATCTGAGCATTTCGTCTACGAATCTGGAGAAGAAGAGAGAGAAATAGATATAAGAATAAGAAGTTAGGATAGACAAAGAAAAAGAAAGAGAAGTGCTCTGCATTTTTAGTCAAAATGCCAAAAACTCTAAAATCCATTATAATAAGATCTATTTGTATTGTACGCAATCTCAAAGTAATCAAGTACCTAAAAACTAATATATACTGCAAAAACATAATAATTAAATTCTTCAAAGAATCTAAATTTTAAGCAAATCCTAAATTCTAATTCTAACGATACAAACATGATGTACTTAATTTCTTCACTTTCATGGTTGCACCTACGCCATTATTCTTCCCAGATTGTATGAAACTTGTGTTCAGGTTTTGTAACATTAATGGTTTTTGTTTTGGTTTTGGAAGCTACAAGATCAACAATTCTTTAGTTTGAGCTGCACGGTTAAATTGATGAGGAATTATGAAATCAATGGGTGAGAGTCTCAATGACAAGAATATAATTGTCAACATTAGATCCTCCATGACAGGAGTGGTTTGATGCTAATCAAGATCTGGGAATAAAAGCAACTGTCTTTCTTGCATGGGATCTGCATCCTCCAGACTAGGTAAACTAGGCATTGATGGCTTTAAGAAGGGTGAACAAAAGCCCAAAGTTGTTCTGTAGTTGCTAAAAACTCAATTCTGAAGATGGCTGCAACAAAACTATATTTTTCCTTCTTGTTTGTAAAAGCTGGTATGAGATTAAACTGGGTCATGTTGTGTTTGATTTGAGCATAACAAGGTTGGATCATGTTTGTATCAGGCAGAATAAGGTAATTTCATCAGGTCTCAAGTAATTCTTGGTACTGTGAGTTAGGAAATTTCAGCTAATGTTGAGTGATTACTGTCACTCTTGTAACTCCAATAAAATAGGAAAAAGAGGGGGCTAGGGAAGAAAAACTAAATAGATAGAGGAGGAGAGAGGCAAAGCAGTTCAAACTCAAGTCTTTGTTCTTATCATACACCAAGAACTCTAAATCTCCATTATAGAACGGCCTATCATTTAAGCAATCAACATGACAAAAGGCCGCAAGGGAATAAATACTGCAATGACAAGATAATTAAACCACTAATCATCAAACTCCTAAACTATAATTGTAATAGATAAAATCTAGATATAGTAAGTACCGATTTCCTTCTTACATCTGTCACAAGTGGAATTCTCATAGAATATCATATGATTTAGTGTGTGATATAGGTAGTACTTGCCTTTGGCATGAATGGTTCAGGATTCTCATTTAAATTTCGATGCTGAATATTTCACCTTTTCTCCCCTTATAAATTTCTGATCATTTTCATATAACTTTTCTCATATGGAAAGGGTTTCATATGTGTATCTTATCTTACTTGACACTTTTAATAATTGTCAGTTGAATTTAATAGCGCTTTCTACTGCCTCTGGGTTCTCATTAATGATGACAAACACTTCTGAAGAGTTGGGGAAGCATTCAACCTCAGTGTATCGTGTGAGAGAAGACAGTGAATATGTTCGGCTGGTTATATCCAACGAAACAAGGACGGCAGAAGCTGATATCTTGCAGCCACAATCAGAAACAAGAGTTAAATCTTTTTTGTGGTGGATTAGAGCCTTAGCTGGGTGCCTTGTTATCATTATATTTCTTCTCATTTTCTTAAAATGGGGGATGCCATTTCTTTTTGAAAAGGTACTTCCTATTAACTCTTCTTTCCTTGGATCTTCTTATATAACATGTTATAGTCAACTTACTATTGTCCTGTTTGTAATTATATATGTTGATTGGTTGTTCAGCGGATTCAAAATCTTATATTTTTTCTTAATACCTGAAGCTTTTTAATATATGGCAGGTTCTCTTGCCAATATTGCAGTGGGAAGCCACTGCCTTTGGCCGTCCTGTTCTTGCCCTTGTTCTTGTTGCTTCTCTCGCTTTGTTCCCTGTGGTCTTAATACCTTCTGGCCCTTCCATGTGGTTGGCTGGAATGATTTTTGGTTATGGCTTCGGGTTTGTTATAATCATGGTTGGAACAACTATTGGGATGGTCCTGCCTTATTTGATTGGTCTGTTTTTCCGTGACCGCATCCATGTAAGGTTTTCATTTTTTCTAACTGATGATGACTTGTTGAAGTGAGTTTTTCTTTTTCATTTTTGTTTTATGTTTTAAAATAATACTACATTTCTATGTCTGTGATATGTCTTTGGTTATGTGGGCAGCAATGGTTAAAGAGATGGCCCCGGAATGCTGCAATGATTAGACTTGCTGGGGAAGGTAGTTGGTTCCATCAATTTCGAGTGGTTGCTCTCTTTAGGGTTTCACCCTTTCCATACACAATCTTCAACTATGCAATCGTGGTTACCAGTATGACATTTTGGCCCTACCTATGCGGATCAGTTGCTGGAATGGTGCCAGAAGCTTTCATTTACATCTACAGGTCGGTTCTCTATCCTCTGTCTATGATAACTTTTGAATTATCAAATTCCAAGGGAATTTATTACTGAAGAAAAACGTAATGCTTTATGTTTTCCGATTTCTGTTAAGTGTTAGTGGTAAATCTCATCAAAGTAGAGTTCGTTCTGATATCCATACATTTGCACACAAGGCATGCCCATAAGATATTTCAGCTAACCATGCTTGGCTATTGCCAGTCAAATGTTGATCTTTAGAAATAAAATATAAACTATTTTTTCAACCATTTCTGCTATTTTCTTGTGCAGTGGTCGCTTAATAAGGACATTTGCAGATGTTAAGTATGGGAACTATCACTTGACTACAGTTGAGATCATATACAACATTATATCCTTAATTGTTGCAATTATAACCACAGTTGCTTTTACTGTTTATGCGAAAAATGCTTTAAACGAGCTTAAAAGAGAAGAAGAAACTAGTGGAGTGGAAGCATCTGCCTCGGGGCATGGCAGTTTAGAGATGGAGAAAGCTTCCCGTTGAAAAACCTAAGCATATAGGAACATGGTAGGCCGGTCACCCAGGGGAATTTGATGGCAGATAATTGGATTTGTTAGCGATGTTTTATGTCTTCCCCTTTTAGGGGAAGAAGGGGAGGGGTAGGTTTTGTAACTATGTCAAATAGGCAAACAAAGGAAAAAAAAAAAAAGATTGATACTATTGTGTATAAAATGTAGAAAATTTTGAACTACAGTGCGCATACTTTGTAGTCACGTGGATGTTACATATTCTCAGCTAGTTTTTTATTTTTTATTTTTCTAATCTGCCGCGAGCCTTCTAGACTAGCTGCGGAACTAGAGATTTGGATATTTCGATTGATTTCCTGTAAATATCGTAATGTGAAAGCATCTTTATGACTTCTGGTGTGTGTTGCTTCACCTAAAATCAATTGGATCAGGGATGTCATTATTGATGCACACGGCAAATTCACCATTGGATTTCTTTTAAAATCATCCAACGCCTGGGAGACAACTGGGAGCTGACATATATTATATTATATGGCAAAATAATTGTGAAGTGTGTGGTAGGAAAAAGACTTCCATGAAATGGGAATAGCACTATTTTGCTATCCCGGCCAATAATGCTATGACACGTATGATAACACTTCCACGTGGCATAGCATTATTTGCAAGGATAGCAAAATAGTATTATCCCCTTGCAACTAAGTTTTTCTTGTGTGGTGGAGTGCCACTTCTTGCATGCTCATAATTGTGAAATGTACTACTGCAAGAGAGAGATTAAGAACACATAGTAGTAGTAACAAGGTGAGGGGGAGGATGCAGTATTTTGTGTGGCAAGGAAGTGTTATCACGCGTGTCATAGTGTTATTGGCCGGGATAGCAAAATAGTATTATCCCCATTGCAACTAAGTTTTTCTTGTGTGGTGGAGTGCCACTTGCATGCTCATAATTGTGAAATGTACTACTGCAAGAGAGAGATTAAGAACACATAGTAGTAGTAATAAGGTGAGGGGGAGGATGCAATATTTTGATGTAAGCAAAGCAAGCTTAGTTTCATAGTTCATTTCGGACGAATGAGGGCAGACAATTGAATGACAATGAAATATGTTATTTGGGCTGGGCACATAATTAATTTAAGCATATGCTTGCATTACATTACATGAAATTAAATGAATAAATAAGATAATCATGAAGAAAGTTGAGCATGAGACGATGATAATGGCGGTTGGACATGAGAGACCATTTCTTGGGTGGCAACTGTTTCTTGTTGTGTAATATCAACAATTTGAGATAATTCTATATTCACCATTTTGTGCATCTCTGTCCTCTGTGAGACAGATCCATCGCTGTCTGTTTTCTCACGTTTACTCTTTATATCTCCAGCCCACATACCGATATATTTTTGTACCATTGTATTAAACATTCCTTCCTTGAACGAGGTACCCATCTTCATCATCATCATACCATGAGCAAAGATAAAAATGAGAATTTGGACAAGTGAAATGACAAAGACACCAGGAAAAACAAGCACAGAGAGAGAGAGAGAGAGAGAGAGAGAGAGAGAGGTCTAACCTGGGTGACGATAACATACAACGGTAGGGTGCTGTAACTGCAAAGCACTTGAACAATCACACTGCAGAGAATGATGGAACAAAGGCATAACATAAGCAAGCAAAGCAAAGCAGTAGTTCATTTCATATTCAGTTTTTTGTGTTCTCCAATTCTTTGGTTATAGAATTACCCCATAATAAGTCTTGGTATGATGTAACCTAACTTCTCCATAATGCATGAATGAATTCCATACGTGCTCTGCAAAGCAGTGAAGCTGATCATCACATCAATGCAGAAATTAATGCGCAAACTACCGAAGAATTGTAAGATATCTAGTTACCGTACCCAAATCCAGAAGAAGAAAGCAATCTCAAATGAATTCTGAAACAATATGAAGTGGATCAAAATCAGGACAATGCGAGGGTTGTTAAACCAAAAGTGTTCATCTGAAGGCTTCACTCTTGCAGCTGCTTCTTGATCAGCCTGTGTTGTCCCTTCTGTCACCTCCTGAGCCAAACAGGTAATTATATGCTCCAGCTTTGCGCCCACAAGAAGCAGAAGCTGTCAGCCCATGCACCCAACACAAACATTATTAGATGATTTCATTTCCTCCCATATTCAGTCAGTTGATTATTAACTTCCACTTGAAATTAATGGACCTTAAGGCACTCACAATCAGCGGCAAAAACGCTAACCAAAAATACGTATGCCATCCTGCACATTATGATTGGAAAATTCATAAGTTTAATTTTTCTCTTTATTATGATTTGAGTGAGAGAGTACACATATATATAAGAGCTCAAAATTGAGATTGAGAAGATTACCTTCCACATTCAGCAACAAAAACAGCACAACAAACAGCCATAGGTACCAGCTACATACGGTGAGTCGAATATTTATTAGTTGACAATCATAAAATTCAATGTAATGATTCTTAATACACAGTTCCGACCAAAGAAGAATTTTAACACACAGCTAGCTTAAAGCTTGACAATAAGAAGTAAAACTCATAATGTTTTCTAATTTACCTTATCCCAACAATTTTTCTGAAGTCAATTTCAAGTGTCCGCATCATGTATGTGTGAAAATCAAAATCAGTACTCCCAGGGCAGTGCTCCTGAAACGAAACTGAGAGTAAGTCCCGTGCATTTTCAGTAACTAACAACATGCCCTTGGGAGAAAACCTTTAACCTTGATAAAGAAAAACGAAGAAATTGTACAGAAACTTGTGAACCACATAGAAACAATAAGGGGATATTAACCTTGATGAACCCTTGTCGCAGTGCAATGTAGTCCGACTTAGTGACAGAGCCGTAAAATTGTTTGAAGAATGATGTCTACCAGAACACACAGTAATAAACAATCCAAAACTAATCAGCACAGGCATAAACAAGATAGAACATATCATGGTACAGTCTTTATATTTTATTTAATTGATCATACGCTTAGAATATTCAATTACTTTCATCAAGATATTATAATAATTCTGATCGTCTAATTGCGAGGATTGTCATTACAATTTGCACTTGGACTTTGTTTTTTTTTTTTTTATAGTAAATTGAGATGAAGAAATGAATCAGGAAGGAAGGAATGAATTAAACATAATACAATTGAGATGAAGAAAATAAATCGTCCTCAGGAAATGAGCAAAAGATATTTCGTGGTTTGGCTCTTGGAGTAATTCATCAACCTTAAATATGAATCTAAATAATATAAAGCATGAAGGAATGTTAAGAACTATATACAGTTCCATAACAATTTGCAAACACAAACTACAGCAAACTCACCACCCAACCTATCACAGCCGCTTTTCTCCAATATCCAACTCCACGTGTTTTCAAGAACTCATGATGATGTGCACGAACTCTTCTACGGCTAGTTGGATCTGCACTGAATAGTAAATTCAACTATCCAATTTAATGAATGAAAGCACTTCGATTAGCTAAAACAGACTTGGGAAATTCAAGTTGACATTACCCTTTCCTGACAGAATCCTCCCAGTGCTTCCATTGGCGTATCTACATATCATAAACCATATAGGTTACAATGTAGAGATTTAAATTATATCCACTGCAACTTATATAACATAAAGAGCTGGAAAAGAAGACGCCATGTTGCATCAAACATATTTAGACAATCATCCAAATAGTAAAATTTATGAAAGATGCATTACTCTTGCCCCTCCAAGAACCATAGTTGTGACACAAAAGATCACATGAACAACTGCCAATACAAAGATGAAGATGTGTAGATGATGTAGTGCTTCCAACGATAACAACGGAACCTTCCCCTAAGTAAAAAGAAAAGGACAAGCATTATTGTTAATGTTTGTGATGATAATTGTCACCTTGTCATCATTGGAAGGTTCATGCTTTCTTAAATGGAACCATAGGATTAAATTACCCTACGATAACAATGGCACCTTGCATGTATATGTGCCTGTACCTGTGCCAATGGAATCTTCTAATGATGACAACACCAAAACTCAGATACATGCCTGTACAAAATGTAACCTGTTTTTATCTAAATTCCTTAATGGCCCGTTTATGTGGCAAAGCCAATAGATCAGATATTTTTGCAGTTTAAGGAATGCAGTCTGAGATGCATTCTCCTGTAACTTGTTTTGTCAAAAATAGGGATCAGACGGACGATGACAGAAGGCATGGTTCACATGTTCCATCATTTGTAATGTACACACAAGCACCACATCCATTTTACATTGTAAGTCAGGGGAAAATGTATAAGGTACTAACAATACAGTACCTTCTTCAGACAATGATCTGAATTTGTTTCTGCAGACAAAAGCCGCCGCCGATTGTTTAGAGATGGATTAAGAAAGTAATGTTCATGGTTGTTTCCCTCAGAAGTTTCCCGCTTGCATGGAAGCATGTGAGATGCGAGATAAGAGGGGATGCACATGTGGCTTATGGAACCTTGAAATACAGTTAGTAGAAGGGAAATGAACCCTAAAAGCATCAATTCTGTTTCAGACATAGGAAACACAATGATTAGGCTTAATAAACAACAACAAATTAGGCTGTACTGATTTAATTAGGCAAGATACAGGATGAAATGAGATGAGATGGCAATGCAGCTTATATCTTATGACTAACATGTTCTTGATGGATTATGTAGATGGCAATGACATACAATGAAGAAGATACATGACGCCTTAAAAGAGAAACAGCATAGAGAAAGATAGTTTACCTTCTTTTAGTTTCTGTAGTGCTTCAAATAGCGCGTCTTGTTTCTCACGCTTCAAGTACTGAATTCCAACACAACAAAACATGAAACCAAACAGAAACTTCCTTGAAAGTCTAGTACTGTGCCCAAACAACACCTTACAGAATGTTCTATGAGTTCAATTTTTTATTATAAAGAAAGCTAAGAATGCTATGTGACTGGTTGCCCATCAATGATATTTGAAAGCAGAAAAAAGTCTCATTTTTCAAGAATTTTGGATTAAAAAAAAAAGCTAAACTGTGCATGTGCACCTTTTCGATGTTTTGATAAGCTCCCAAAACTTATTACCTAAAATTTTCTAACACAATTGAGATTTCGAGATTAGTTTTTCTCCTTTGGAATTTATTACCTGCCAACACATTCCTGCTTACTCACATATGCAACTTGCTAAGAATTCTATAGATTGAATGAAGAGCAGTACGGTGATTACGGATCAAGAACTAGCTTCTACTTAACTACTATATTTTATTAATTACTTATTATTGTGCAAGTGACTACTGGAGTTGGTTTTCTCCGAGTACCAATGATGGCCAACAACGAAAGACAAACTTCATCCACCAGTACCATACGGAACACTGAAGTTTTATCTGATTTTCATGGCATATACCCATGACCCATTACTTATGTGCTTTATCCTGCTCCAAGTTCCCAACACTTGTAAAAATCCAAGCTTTTTACAGAGGCGGCGTTTGGTGCCACCAAAATTCCCGACTTTGAAGAAGAATTAAGGAAGAAAAAAATATGGAACAAGGGTAGCATTTTCCACAGTGGGGGCGAGAAAAAAAACTAAAAGATTAGACAGGCAACTCTTGTAATGATTGTAACCATGATATGAGAAAAGGCACAATTTGGATACCTTTCCAAGTTTATGAAGAGCACGCTCCGCACAAAGAGATAGTAGAACAATGACAAAGCAAACAACTGCAACAACCCATGTTGATGTATACTCTAAAGAGCTGTTGAGTTCTTCTGCCATATCCTCTTCACATCAAAAAAGGAGCAATATGATCAATCTACAGACAAAAAGATTGCTATGAGCATTCAAGGTTGGCACGCAAACTAGTGTTGCCTTAATTGATTGTGGACTTTGAATAAGTAGAGAAATTTTGATTTTGGGGGACAAAGAATGCCCTATTCCAAAGCAAAGGAAAAAGAAGAGAATAAAGCAGTTTTCGAAATAAAAAAAGAAAGAGGAGAATAAAGCAAAGAAGCAGGGGGAAACCAAAGTATTCAAGGTGGCCGTGCATTTTAAGTAACGTACAGAATTTATCTGAGTAAAAGTGGAAAGTTCTAGTTCATTCCATAAGTTGGTGATAGGCTACTAAGTCTAGGAAGCCAACATGTAGAAAGAAAGAGCCATGAAAGCCTTTATTCAACTTGGAGTTCTGTTAACCGAAACTCTGTAGCTGTAGGTACCAGAAAAGAAAAAGAAAAAGAATTAAAGAACCTGATTCATGCACACTACTCGCCATAATACCAAAAATGTCACTTGCTGCCCTAGAGTTGGAGGGCAACTCATAACAGCTGTGGCTTCTGAATTACCTCCCTCAACGGTGAAAGTGTGAAGAGCAAGTGCCGTGGCCGGTCTTTTTAAGAGGCTTCCAGCCTGGCTTCTCTAATGGTTCGTTCTTTTCCCGGTCTTGTTAAGAGGCTTCTTTGTCCTAAGTAGCAGAGCTCATGCATGCAAATACCGAATTACAGGTAGACATGTGAGAAGAACCAATTGCAGCTCATTAAAGAGAGATAGAAGGGAAAAATAGAAGACACCTTTGACGCAGCAAGGAAAACTATGACTTCTAAATTTAAATTTATTGTCAACACATTCAAACTGTTCACTTTCAATGTTTCAAAGAATACATGATTCATTCCATACATATATACTGTATATATCACAAAATCCAATCAAATAGACATTTATCAATTCCTTGTGCTATTCTGAGTCCACGAATTGGCCCCAGCCCAATAACCGCTCAACGTCTGTCTATTGCTTTCATCCTTACTTCCTTGCGCCCATCTCTTGATCTTCATGTGACTGAGTTACTGTTTATGTCAAGTAGATATAAGCTCCAAAGTCTAACACTGCAGCAAAATCATCTAGCCGTAAGTCACACAACATACTTAAAACAACCAGGACCACTTCAGCATCTCATGGTTTCCAAGGTGCCGGAGGTGGTGGTGGAGTTGGAAACATTGGAGGAACCGCAGAGAAAATGGTATTCTTGTCAATCCCAATATTTTTTTCTCCCGACAAAGCAACAAGCGCTGCTACTAAACCTGCATTTCCAGCAAGGGTCGGCTCTGTGTAGTTGTAATTAGAACGAACATCACGGAAACCATCATGTTTGTCGGGCCCGGCAACCATGGCACCATCAATCGTATTTGGGTTTGCCTTTGAAGTGTCCCTCCATTTCCATCCCCCTTTACAATTGTATTTGATCTTGTTCTTAGGAATGGATGCTCCTCTGTGGTGGACATGTTTGGGGTAATGATTACCAAAGCCCACGACATAACTCATTTTTTGGGGATTCTTGCCAAGGATGTAATCAATCTGCCAAAGCAGTGGGAAAAACAAGTTATTGGCCATCATGTCTCGACATGAGTTTATCTATATGTCTGAGGTGTAAGCAGCCCTAATATTATTTTCTTCTTAAAGGAAATAAAGCAAATTAAAAAAAAATGTATACATACCTGAGTTTTAGCAAATTCACGCAAGACATCAGTAGAGTAGAAGTTGGGTCCACAATACCACCCAGGTGTATCGGCAGCTTCAAGATAATCGCTATACAATGTAGCTAAGAAGGCTGCATTAACTACATATTGAAGAGGCTGTGGCCTTCCATGATTCAACTGGATCAAGCCTCCTGTGGCAAGTCACTAAGATGTTAGATCCCATACATGCATAAATCCACTTGTGGAACCTCGTGAGGTCAATTAAGCACAGAACCCAAACATTATGGAGTAGGAAACATCGTACCTTTGGTTCTGTTAAAGGTTGTGAAAATTGGCAGGTACGAGCACATTACTATGCTAGTCTGGTTGTGAAATGTCCTCAAAATTTCTTCATACGGATACCCAGGACTCAAGAATAACCTCAAACGGCTCAGAAGCACCTAGTCAAAAGAATTTAAGATTGTGTTGGCAATGAAAAATATGAACTAAAATTGTGCAGTTCATAACCCAACTGTGATCTGACATTTGATATAGAAGGGTGGCTGACACTTGGAAGTTACTAAGGATTACACCCGATTAATGAACATAGAACTAATTAAAGATAGTAATACATATTACTTATAATCTTTCAGGTCTCATATCAAATCATGAACACCAAAAACTCCTATTAGCATACCTGAGCTCCGGCAAGCTTGTTGTCCCAGCTAAAAACTCCATAATCAGGGCCGCCCCAAAAGGCACCAGCATGTTTGGCAAGACCAGGAGTTGTTGCAAGCTGAAGATAAGAAGAATTTCCAGTAGCATAATACATCCAAGCTCCACCCCATACGAATTCATCCCAATAACTGGTGGAATTATAGAAGAGTGCAGCATCTGAACCACCACCAGCACTATATCTGCCTCGCTGATCCCTAGAAAACTTGAAGAGTGTTTTCGCACCATGGACAAGTTTCTGTGAGTAGGCCTTGTTGTCTTTAAAAACTATGGATGCAGCAGCGAGAGCAGCAGCCATTTCGGCGGCTAGATCGGAGCAACTGTGGCATTCAGTCACAGGACGGGGGTAATCAATGTCCTCAGGGCGCATCCAGCAATAATGATCATTAGGAGTAGTACTTCCTCCAGCAGTATTTCCAACCCCAACCTGTAAAAGTAGTAGATTAGCAATGGACAATTAGAAGGAAAACACAAAATGGCAGTGGAGTCGAGTCGAGACTAGTGGATGCATTAGAAACCTGAGCAACAAGCTTGTCAATGGAATCAGCAGAATGGTTGAACGTCTTGAGAAAGTAATCAGAACCCCATTTAATGATTTCCTTCACATGGTTGAGTTCCCCAGCAGCTTCATATTTAGCACTGTACTCGATTACACTCCAGCTGAGCATGGTCATGGCAAAGGATTTAGGGAAGTTGAACTTGATGGCATCTCCGGCGTCATAAAAACCACCCGCAAGATCTTTAAAAGTGGTGGATGCATCATTGCCATCCTTAAGACATGAGTTACCCCTCCACGACACATTGTTATGTTTTGGGAGTTTTCCCGCTGTGATATCATATCATATCAGAGTATTATTATTATTATTATTAGTTAATGAAAAACGAAAACATGATGATCGAGATATCAAGAAGAATGCAATTAATCAAATCAAATCAATTATCCAGATTATATATATATATAAATCTGACACTTACTTTAACACCCAAATTTAGAATTTAGAAACAACAAACCCAGATTTAGAATTTTAGAAACAACAAACCCAAATGTAGAATTTAGAAACAAGAAAGATAAATAAAAAGAATAAAGGCATAAAGAAAACGTACATCGCTGGGCGTTGAAGAACATTAGAGACTTGTGGAGCGCCAGTGTGTAGTTGTCGGGGGGAGGGCGGGCGCGGTGGTGACGCGGCACTGTCTTGACGATGAGGGTGATGAAGCCCGCCAGAAAGGCGGAGACCAGGAGCGTCCCGACCGTCCACACAAAGATCTTACGGCTGACAATGATGCATCCCAGATCCACATACTTCTTCTTCTTCTGCTCCCCGGAGGGTCCCAGCAGCCAGCTCTGCTGCGTTTCATCCAACGGCCGCGACGACAGCGCCGCCCTGTCCAGATCCTGCAGGTTCCGGCTCCGGTCGTCGTCCGTGGCCGAGTCCGCCGTGTTTATCTCCAGCGGGCCACCCCAAGGGTCCCTGCCGTACATGCTCATAGCCGCAGCTCAACACTGCCGACACCGACAGAGGAGTTGTCACTTGTCTCACAAGTCAAAACACCGCCGACACCCAAAGCAAGAACCAGAACCAGAACCAGATCTGAGTCTGGGACAAAAAGCAACTCTCAATTCACAAAACAAGTAGTTGCTTTGCTGCTGTTAGCTTGTTTGTAATCTCATGAGCCTCCTCCTATTCCTATAAAAGAAAAGGAAAATGTGGACTCAGTTTGGACTTTTTCTGTTCTATTATATTCACTCAATAATTCGATGGGTGACGGTGCGTGTTTTATTTTCTCAATCACAGACAGATCACAGTTGTATTGAATTCATCTGGTGGCTTGCGATTTGTTTCTCTTTCCGTAATTTTCTTTTATTTTTTATTGAATAATTAAATACTATTCATTTGGTTCATGACACTGACCACTCCGCTACGAGACAACGACACCCTGCCTAATTTTTCTATCCCACGCGCATTCACCGACTGGATAGGTAAATTGCTTGCTTAGAAAAGAGACCCAAAGTGCTTTGTTTTGCTTTGCTTGCTTTACACTTCGCATTACTAGGATGAAAATGTACACAGACGACCTTCCACCCAATCCAACCAACGTTAGATGAAATTCTCTTTTCCACGCCTCCACATTGGTTAAGACATCTTCCTCTTCTCATAAAATATATATATATATATATCCCGTTGAACTAAGACGCAATGGTAAATCCTCTTTCAAATAGTTCAGAGGGTAAAGATAATTTTTAAATAGTTGTTAATATCAAATATAAACATGGTTTGCCAAAAAGAGTCCAATAACTAGCCCTCGTTACTTAAAGAAATGACCAAGAGCCCAAAAGGCCCATTATATGCACCTAAGGATGCTCTCGGGATGCAAAAAGCCGGCCATGCCAATTTCACTCATGCAGTCTGACTCAACGATGTATATAAATAATAGAAAAATTAAATGATAATTTTTGAAATCGAATGGTTGGACTCATCTAACCAAAACTGTGAAATAGGAAGTAGTTCCTAAACCTAGGAATGAGTGGTCTGCTGAGGAATGGGTTACTTCAAACAAAATGCGTCCTTTAATCTAGGTGATAGAATTCCTAAATTGAAGAACATGTTTGATAACCAATTTGTTTTCAATTTGTTTTTTTTTTTTTGGTTTACTTTTGTTGAAAAATGAAAATTGAAAACATGTTTAGTAAGTTTTCATTTTCTATTTTCAAAAAATGAAAATAATTTTCATAACTCTTATTTTTTAAAATTACCTTAAAGTGTTTTCAGTTTTCGTTTTCATTTTCTTTCCCCTCCTTTGTCATTTAATGATTTTATACCACCACATATACATTGCACTCTAGTCCCAAAACTCGGTATCTTGGACATCCTACTTGGATTCGACCAATCGACTCTTGCGTTAAGCCGCAAACCCAGTTTGAATAGGGCCGAAAAAAATTGGGCAAAAACAAAGGAAAGAATATCTTAAACAAAAATATCTTAAAACAAAGAAAAGAAGAAAATGGAGTAACAATTTCACAGCAATCTTTTAAAGAAACAATGAGATTGACAATGATTATGATTCCAAAACAATACCAGGCATTAAATTAACACATAAATGTTGAGAAAAATACGAAGAGCAGAGAGAGAGAGATTGTAAATAATACTTCAGCCAAGAATAATCTCAACCCCGACACAAATCACAAGCAGATAAAGAAAAATGATATCAACATATATTCTTATTAAATTACAATAACATATCAATAAAACACCAAAAAAAATCAATATATCAGCAATACCATTACAATACAACCGCAATAAAATCACAATACAATTGCAATAGCAAATCAACAATGCTACCTCACTATGATATAATCATAACAAGTTCATAGAAAATCCCAATACCAATTGCAAGAATCAATTGACAAAGAACAAGCACATTTGTTGTTTCAAACAGACAAAATCAATCTCAATACTTCACTTTCTACACAAAATACAGACAAAATCAATCACAATTTCAATTTCAGTAATCAAATTCAATTTAACATCAAAACTTACAAAACCCTGACTTCAAAACCCCCCAAAATTGAACCAAAATGCTCAAACAATGGCCACCTAATGTCAAGACATGCTGTCGTATTTATAAAAGATGGTTTTGTTTAGGTTGCAGAAGGGATTCAAAGAGAGACGAAGTTGGGGTTTGGATTTGGGTAGAGAAGAAAACAGAGAGGAAGAGGAAGAACTGGGTTTTGAGGGCAAAGCTGTGGGTTTTGTAGGTTGTTCTTGATCTTCTTCTTCGTGAGAAGAGGCGTAGTTAGCTAGATGGAGAGAGAGAGAGAGAGAGAGAGAGAGAGAGAGAGAGAGCTGAAAGAGAAACCAAAAATTGACCAAAAGTGTTATCAAGGAGATAAGTGCAATAAATATGCATTTATAGGTGATATTTGCAAAAATTTTGGGGAGAGATGGCATTTTCAGATAAAATTATGAAAATAGTGGCATTTTGAGCTATTTCCCTTATAAATTTAGCATTGGAAATTATACAATCAGTCCAGTTTTTTCACTACAAGAATTGGTCCAATTCGGTTTTTGGTCAACTCGATCTGATTTTTTATCAACCCAATTTATTTCGGCCCAATTCAACTTAAGTTTCCGATTTTCCGATTTGAATGCCCACCCAATTGAATTGGACTCGATTAGTTTAGTCAGTATGATTGATATGGATTCAAACCCTAGTTGGGCACCAAAAGGTCTCCATTCAACCAAAAAAGATACACTAACAAAAAGGTCACACTTGACCACCACTTTAGGATAAATAGTATATGAAATTCATACAAATTTGATCGATAACTACATACAGTATAGTAGAACATTAGACACAATACATACACGCATATTTATTTCTACAGATTTTCTCCTATGCGGACGTCCGGACATTATTATTGTGCAGACGCCTCCCTGCTTTCCTCCCCATTTACACATGTGGACGTCCGTATGAGAGAAGAACAGTTTATTTATATATACACACACGTATTTATTTATATATACACACATATTTATGTGTATATTCATTGTGTACAATCGTATGAATAGGTTTGTAGTGGAAGCTACAGATCAAAACTATGGCTGTTGAAATGAAAGATAGGATGGTCGCTTTGTCTCCTAAAGTTGTGTGACCTGATTTCTTTAGCCACACTTGATTGAAGAGTTGGAGGACCACACACAATGACGCCCGCATCAACATGGCCCCAATTCTTGGATACAGTTTCAAATATTTCTGCAGTAAGAAGAAATCAAGTAAGCAATGACAAGCAACTGGAGAAATGTGATTGTTGCTGTAAGGAAGGAAGCTATTTCTGGCAACTAACAACCCGATGCACCTCTTTGCAAAGCAATTTCCTGTGCTTCAATGTACCCTAAATTCTATATTCTATACCAATACAAATTCCTCAGAAGGTTCAGTCTTTTTCCTTCTTCATTATTATGAAATCAAATGGAGCTTTGTAAGAAAAACAAGAATCCAAAATCCCCACCTCTATCTGATCCACCAGCTTCACAAGTTAAGCTTCTCTAGATTGTAGATTTATTGGTCAATGAAAAGATAGCAGGAAGTAGAAATCGACACAAAATGGTGCAGAAGCCACATCAAAAATATGAAGCAACCAAGAAGAGATTATGCTAGTTTAACCTCTTCAACAGATCAAAGGTTATTCAAATGAAAGAACCACTGCATGCCATTGTCTATATGTAGTCATTAACTAGCATTTCAACTATCTGGATAACTCGTATAGAATTATTGCTACGTATTTATTAATTAGCTTCATGTACTGTGAATTTAAGACGAAAATAGACATGTCAAGGAGGCATACCTTTGAAGTCTGGTCTTGCACCATAACGAATGCCAGTTAACTTTGCAAGGTGGGAATCCTCGCGAGCTACAGTTTCTTTATGCTCTGCCTTATCTATATTTAACTTATCATCCTCAAATTGTTCCTTTGCTAAAATTCTTCTTTCCCAGAGATGCCATAAACCAACCACAAGACCCCCGAAGATAACGACACTTGTAATCATACAGACAATGAAAAGGAGCCCTTTGTACCACCATGAAGATATATGAAAAGGATTTATGTAGAAGATATCCAACAAGCCCATTGAGATAACAAAGCCTACCGTTGATGAGATAACGTATAGTCCAGACCATATAGTATGTCCAGTACCAACCAAAACAGACATGCCACACCTTTTGGATGTAGGACAAAGAGAAAAGTCTAGAGTGTTTTGCACTTTACCCTCTTCCTGCAAATAACAACAATCAAATTCCCCAAAAAACTGGAACAAATAACATTAATAAAACACAAACAAATTAAGGAAGGTACAAAAAATGTGTCAAAATACAACCAAACATACCAAGGGAGGTTCAGATTCCCGAGTGACATATATACAAGTCTCAAGATTTAGTTTACTAGAGAACGATGGACAGATTGAGTCCATATCAATGGTTGAAAGAAGAGAAAGCTCATCTGATCTTTTGACAGCCCAGACAATCAAAATATTTCTTAGTAGACAAGGTCTCCCTTCCCTAACACAATGGAGAATGTCACTCAAGACAGCCAGGAAAGGTGAAATCCCAATGCCACCAGCTACTAAGATAAGATTTTCATACCTGAGAAAGCAAAACATAAAGTCAAACTGTTAGATATAGAAAGAAAAATTTATCATTGAGCTGGATGTCTAGTATATTCTTTTCTTTTGATCCAAAAATAAGGATCATTATACTCTCTTTTTTTGGGTGGTTAATAATTGGACTGTCTTTGTAAAGAGCCCTTCAAATTTGTAAGTACCATTACAGAAGATGTTATGTGAACATATGACACACATGACACACAGCATCATGCAAACTTTCATGTATTTCACTTGTAAATTCCAAACCAGTGATTAGACCAGGATTAGCCTAATCTGATAAAACAATTTTTGTGATAAAAAGAATTAAAGAATAGAGTACATACATCAAGTGGTACGGTGTCTCATGCCCGTAAGGCCCTTCAACAGAAGCTGTTATCTGACTATGAGGACTGAAAGGCAGCTCCTTTTCTGAATTTTCCAAGATATTTCCTCTCAGCTTTTCTGTCCATTTTCCAAGAACCTTTATGAGGACAGAAATATGATATTTACCATCCAGAGGACTGGAAGAAACACTGAAAGGATGCCATTGCAGCCACGATAGCTCACGAACTTGAAGAAAAACAAAACTGAGGGCGTTGTACCGCAGATCTAAATATGTCATGAGCGAACAGTCACTCATATGGTAACAGAATATGAAATTAAAAATAATAAAAGTGTGAAGAAAAATATTT